TCTTAGCAAGCAGCATCCATCCATCACAGCACTTTCATTTACATCCATCTTTACCTGGTACAGCTTCTCAAGTTTAGTACGCTAAGTTACTGTCAGCAACCTTCACATGCTGCCCCCTGTAATACAGCTCCTCATGTTGTCATAACATTATTTTCATTGCTGCTTCATAACTAATTTTGCTACAGTTATGAATCATAGTATAAATATCTAATACACAGATGGTCTTAGGCAACCCCTATGAGATGGTCTTTTGATGTCCCCAAAGGGGTCATGACCCACAGGTTGAGAACCCCTGCTCTATAGGATGCCCTGGCTAGGACAGGTGAAAGCCTCTCTGCCCACCCGGGGCCGCATCTTGATTCTCTAGCCGGCACTGGTCCCTGAGGACAGCAGGCAGAGGCTGTGCTGGGAGCACCATGGCTACCTCGAACCTTTCCTACCCCACTCTGGGCATCTGTCACTGTTCTCTCCACAGGAGTCGGGGAGACGGGGGTGGGGGGGAGTAAGAGGCCACTGTCAGCGCTTCTGGGGAGAACTATGAAAAGCTGTGGAGGGCAAGTTGCCTTGGTGAGACAGGCTTCTTTGGGAACGCCTGTGTCCACTGGGTCCTGCACCAAGTGCAGCTTGAGTGAGGGCCACTGTGGAGTCAATATGGCTGCCCAGAAGGACCCCACCCCAGAGTGGCTGCGGTGGAGTGAAGTAACGCCTAGTATAAAGCAGATGTTGTGACTCTCCAGTTTGTGTGAAAATCAGAACACAGCGGGGTGGGGTCCCCTTCTCCGCAGGGCGCTGGCAGCTGTGGCTCTTGGACTAGTGACCACCGCCTGACGGTCAGGCATGAGCGGAGGCGGAAGGGTCTCTGCTTGGTTATGTAACATTCCTTTGCCCGGCTTGGCTTCAAGAGTCTGGACAGTGCGGTGTCCAGAGGGAGAGAAATGACAGATGGATTTAGCACTAATGCTGAAATCATGCAGGGCAAGGAAACCAGACACTGAGGGGCCTGGACAGCTGACAAGCTGGCTGGAGGGCTTCGCCGGAGCCCAAACTTGAAGTCACATGGTGCCCAGGCAAGCTGACTTGGGCACAGGGTGAGCACCTGCCCATCTTCCTGCTATGCTCTTCCAGAAGCTGCTGTGTACTGGAGACGAGGTGAGGACAGGCTGCCTGCCTAGAGCTGTTACACATGTGCCATGCTGTCTCCATGAGCACCGACAGCTCCCTCCTGGGCATCCCTGGTTCTGAAGGACCAGGGCAAAGCACACTCCTTAGTCACTGGCTGGGTGGTGGGTGCCCCCCCCCCCCCCCGTGTCCCGGCAGGGCAAGGAGACGCCACTTGAACACTTGCTGTGGGAATGATAGGCTGAGCATATCCAGACCACAGGGACAAGGCTGAGGCCACCTGTGGGGAAGGAAGAAACAGGACACTGGTTTTCAAAGCAACAGTTCTGAAGCCCTGGGGCCTCTGCTGGGTTTTGGAAGAAGGGAACAGAGAACCCAGAGCTGATGGAAAACAAGTGATGCAACTCCAAAGGGACCACAGCTGGAACTGGACACATCTGGAAAGGCAGCGAGGGCAAGATGGCTGGATGCAGTCCGCTCCAGCTCCAGCCCGTCAAGAACGAGTTTTCAAACGGGGAGGGACACAGGGAAGGCATTTTATAAAGACCGGATGGTGAGATTCTTTCCTCTGGCATGTCTTCCCGAGGGCTTGGAAAGCAAATCCCACAGAGCTCCAGTTTTGCTGACCCTCTGGGTAGGTCTCCCACCCCAGTGGGGCACACCCATAAGCCAAGGGCACTCCCCCTGGGTGGAACCACCTGCCACCTGCCAGCAACTTCCTGTTCTAGCCTCAGTTTCTTGCCCTGTCAAACAGGGATCTGCCTCTACTTCACAGGACCGTGGATAGTATATGTACTCGAGGTGCACTGGAGGCTAGGATGACGTGGGATGGTATCCCTTTCTGTCAGAGAATGAACCATGCACCTCCAGCACTTGGGAGGCAGAGATGGGCAGATTTCTGTGAACTGATGCCAACTTCTCCACAGTGAGTTCCAGGTCAGCCAGGGAGGTTCTATCTCAAACCAACCAACCATCCCACCCCCAAATTTGCTCTGAATTGCACCAAACAGGAGAATTCTACTATCACAAATCATTGTTTGCTACCTGCCCCCACTTGGTGAAATCCGGAGCGGGTGAAGGCAAGCCTGCCTCTTCACAGACCACAACAGGGGCGGTGTCCACTCAGGAGTCGACTGCTTGAGTTCTGGCCACTCAGACTCAAACACTTCAAACTGGCTCAAAATACTTGCCTCGCCAGAGAGCTGATTTCCAGAGGCCCACAGGAAATGACCCTAACTCACACAGAGGTCACCACGTCACTGCCAAGTAAACACTTCATAAACTGTGAGCAGCGTGATGTTTCTGGAGCCCCCTGGCTGGTCCGCACTGGCACCTGAGGTGAGGTGGTTAGACTGTCCTGGCCTTCCCAATGCCAGTTTCTCTTCTTGCTGACGCACACCCTCCTCTCCACACTACCACACACGCAGAGGGGCCTTTGCTGCTTCTGTCTCCAGGCCTCCAGCTGGCGGAGAAGCCCACGGGCAGCCCCAGTCCTTGAGGTGAGCAACTCCTGTGCAGTGGTTAAGAGCAGAAAAGTCTGAGATGTCTCCCTGACCTGCACACAGACCTCAGCTGAAGCGCGCACACAAACTCCCATACTGCTGAACTGTAGAAAGTCTGGGACCTTGGGGCCTTCCAGGTGCCTCCTAAGGCCAACATAGGCAAAGTTTCCTTGTTTTCAGTTGGAGAGTTCTTTTCTGGAGTTGAGGGTGTAAACATGGAGTCCAACAGGGAAAGAACACGAGGGAACACCGAGACTGAGACAGTGGCTCTGAACGTCACCTCTGAGCCTCCTCTCCAAGGATTAAACCTCAGAAGGCTCTGGAGACCCAGGGCCCGGACCTGAGTGTAACCCTGCCCGACTCGCCCCAGGTGAAGAAGACTGCGGAAGCCCAGAGCTGACCTCTCATGGGCCTCTGACTTACAACCTCTGAAACCCCAACTGCCTCACAGTGGGGCTTGTGTGTGGACAAAGCTCTGTCTTCCTAGCAGCCACACACAGGCTCCACTCTCAGGGAAAGCTAGCTCCTCCATGCGCAGTTCACATTCCAGCCTGTGGAGGCTCTGCGCCACTCCACCCTGGGCTTGTGAGGGCTGCTTGTCTTTCACAAACCACCTCAGCCTCCTTAGAGCCCTCTTCGCTTAACCCCACTTTGTCCTCCCCACTGTTCATGAAATTCAAGGGACCAAGGGCCTGGCAAAAGGTACAGGGTCCCTCCATCGATGGCGAAGACTCCACAGAGGGTCGCAACTTCCATCACCACGGACTGCGCAGGCCTGTGCAGACTTACCTTGCAGCTTTCTGACTTCCGCAATCTAGAACCGGAGACTGCTCAGTTTAGTTCATCTTCATCTTTGTGCGGCATGATCAGTGGTCAAGTACCTAGCCATGTCAATAAAGGACCAATACGAGGGCAGAGGAAGCTGGGTGTCGTGGTGCATTAATTTCTATTAATCTCAGCAATAGAGAGGGAGAGACAGGTAGAGATCCCTGTGAGTTCAAGGCTGGTCAGGTCTACCGGAGTTTGAGACTAGCTGAAGCTACACAATGAGAAACCCTGTCTCAAAACAAAACAAAAAAGTGGGCGGAGAAAGCAAAAAGAGCATTCTTGCTGGGAGGTGGTGGCACACACCTTTAATCCCAGCGCTTGGGAGGCAGAGGCAGGTGGATCTCTGTGAGTTCAAGGCCAGTCTGGGCTACAAAGTGAGTTCCAGGACAGCTAAGGCTACACAGAGAAACCCTGTCTCAAAAATTCAAAAAAAGAACATCCTTATTATTTGCACTGTTTGATGAAGATACCCTAAAAGCACTTGGGGGAGCAATAAGCACAGAGGATCACTAAGGATAGTTGTGCATCCTGATAAAACCAACAAGACACCTTGCCTCCCAGTGTGAAGGCAGAACCACTGTAGGACGGACCTCCATGAAGTGAGCCGCACACTGATGGCAAACACTTTGGCTCTGCAGCTCCTTCCCCAACCACATTACATCAGTTTGAGGCTGCTGAAAAATATCTCTGTAGAAAGTCAGGCCTAAAGATCAAACTCAGGGAGGTGCCTGTCTCCCTCAGGCCAGCTATTCTAACTCATTCCTTCTGAAGGGGGTGGGGCGCCGCAGCAGTTGACTGGGTCAGGGCACTGCAGCATCGAGGGTGCTGGCCAGCGAGAGGCACAGGCACCTGAAGATTCAGAACTCTAGCCCAGTCTCCAGGACCCACCACCAGAACCCCAGGAGCCATGGGCGTTATGAAAAAGGGACACTCTCCTTTTCCTCTTAGGGATGCGGGGACTGCCTCACACATGCTAGGCAAGCACTCTACCACTGAGCTACATCCCTAGATCTAGGAGGTACACTGGGGGGTGCTGAGACAGTCTCACTATGTAATCCTTGGCAAATCTAGAACTCACTACATAGATAGGCTAGCCTAGTATACACCATGATACCTGGTGTTAGCAGGCACTTTTAAAAATGCAATTCTGGCTATCTGATCCTACCCACACTGGTTCCAAATTCATTCTGCTTGTCAAACTGTAGGAGTTTTTAGAGCCAGTCATAATTTCCCTTTTGTACTTTTTAGTACAGGGTGATGTGGTCAGGGATGTGGACAGGTGATGTGGACAGATTCACCTGGTGAAGGATGCGGTGTCAGCACCCACTGCTGCCCCTCCACTGCCGAGAAGCCAGTGAGGAGCCATGTCCACACACACAAAGGGAACCACTAACCCATTTCTAATACCTCAGTGTTCAAAGGCCCGGGAGAGAACCGATGTGGACCAAGTGTTGGGTAGCAGCCCGGCTGCAGCCCTCCCCAGGGAATCTAGTGAGAGATGGAGAGGTAGGCCCTAGCTGCTGTCTCCAGCACACAGTGACAGCCAGTGCATTCAGGGCAGGTAACTAAGCAACAGACCCAAGTGTTTTTATTCCTCCTCCCTGTTCTTTTCAGCCTGGTTTTCAGCTCTTTAAGCAGTTCTTATAGACAGTCGTTTCCTATTGCTCCGAGACAGTGGTTCCATCGCAGATGACCAAAGGCTGGTTCCCTCTGGCTACAACGTAGACCTTCCAGTGGGCAGCGTTGGCATAGCCTTGGAGGAAAACAGCAACAGGAAAGCCGTGAACGTCAGGGAGAGGGACACCGGGCAGAGCCATGGTCTGCAGTCCTGCTGCTCTTGCTGGAAGGTCTCTGGGCTCTCTGAAGCCTGAGTACGCCTTGCTATTACTAGTTCTCTGTGACCCGACACTCTTAAAGACACTCCAAACCCAGACTTTTCTCTCCACCCTCTTCTGGGCAACTGACTCACACTCTGGCTGGTCACAGAGGCAGCCTGTTTTACATGAGAAAGGTACTGGCCATCAGGTCCCAGGCTGATAGTCTTTTTTTTTTTTTTGGAAGTGGAGTGTGTATTTGACAGGTTCCTGTTATGTAATCTAGACTGGCCTCAAACTTGGGATCCTCCTGCCCTCTTGAATGCTAGGACTTCAGGGTGCACACCACTATGCCCTGGTCTGGATGGGTTCTGTGGGGAACACTCAGCTATTACTAAAATGATGTGCTCCAGCTCACACAGACTGACTTAAATCAGCATTCCCCAGCATGGCTCTGCAAAGCCTGTCTTGAGTATCTGAAGAGGCTTCCACGGTTCCAAGACTTCTCGGGGTCCATGTATTCTGTGCACAGGCCTTCTCAGGAGGCTCCTGTTTCCACGCACGGGCTGTTTGGAAAACTCAGACCTAGATCACCTGAGTGTGCTGGGAAGGTTACCTGCTGCCGCTCACAGGACTGTCCTGCATGCTCTAACATGGGACAGTGGATCATGCTGGGTGCGGGGCTACACCTGTATTCCAGCACTCGTAAGGCTGAGGCAGGGAGACTTTTGGGATTAAGGCCAGCCAGGATTACCCAGCCAGATCCCATCTCTCTCTCTCTCTCTTTTTTAAAGATTTATTTATTTATTATGTATACAGTGTTCTGTCTGTATGTATGCCTACAGACCAGAAGAGGGCACCAGATCTTATTACAGGTAGTTGTGAGCCACCATGTGGTTGCTGGGAATTGAACCCAGGACCTCTGGAAGAGCAGTCAATGCTCTTAACCACTGAGCCATCTCTCCAGCCCCAGATCCCATCTCAAAAGGACCAGAAGTCAGTCAAGCAAATAAAGAAGTACACAAAAGTGGAAGGCTGGAGGGGTGGCACATCCCTGTAATGCCAGCACCGAGACAGAGGCAGAAGGACTACTGCAGTCTGAAGCCAGCCTAGTGATACCTAGGCCAGCCAGAACACATGGCAAGACTCTGCCTCAAAAGTTCAAAACAGCAAGTAAAATCATCTCATGCTAACCCTTTCTTTTCTCTCTCTCTTTCTCTCTCTCTCTCCCTCCCTCTCTTTCCTTTCCTTCCTTCCTTTCTTTATTTTTCTTTCTTTCTCCTTTGAGACAGGGTTTCTCAATGTGTAACAGCCCTGGCTGTCCTAGAACCTGCCGTGTAGACCAGGGTGGCCTTGAACTTACTGAGATCAGCCAGCCTCTGTGCTGGGATTAAAGGTGTGCGCCACCACTGCCTGAACCCTTTCTTTTAAACATTACTAAGATAAACAGTCTCAATTGGAGAGTCAGTCTCTAAGGTGTGATGGTTGGCCAGTCTAGAAACTAATACTTGGTGACTGAGGAAAAGTCACATGATCTTGATGGGCCTGTGTCACGACAGCTGGTGCTGTGCCCGACATCTGTCATCCTTGATTATGTCTCCTTCCAGGATTCCTGGTGGATCTGTAATTCTGGCCCTCCACTTCCAGGTTAAAAAAACCAGCATTTTGGTTAAAAAACATAATCATAGAACAGCTTGTCCCAGTGCCATTCTTAAGGGGCCATGCTACACCCCCAAGTTACTCTTTCTCACCAACAGGCCTGACTCTCGACTCATCCTTACCACCTGTGGCAGCTGTACCTCTATTCCTCTATTTGACTCCATTCCTAACAGGGCTTTAGGTGCCAACCATCCCCCTCCCAGCTCTCCCTTGCTTGTTCTGTGCCTGCCGTGAGCCTGGCCACTAAGGCTCTGCCAGTCAGGAGCCTGGCACCTGTGTCTTAGGCTGCTCTCGTCTATCAAACTTCCTGGGCAGCTGCCAGTCACCTCTTCTTTTTAAATCCTCTAACCGGCATTCTGGATGCTTGTGAGAAATGGAAATCTAGAACCTGGAAAATTCAAGGTGCTTCTGAAGCTGTCTGAACAATAGTACTTGTAGAAAGCAAGACAGAGAGACCTGTCTAAGTATGAGCACAGGTTTAAAACCCTGTTTTCTCTAACAGCCACTCAACGTAGGGTCACTCCCTTGCAGGAAACGGCCTGCTGTTTCCACACACACATTCACTTTCTACCGCAGTTTTGCACAGCCGGGCCAGACCAGCTGGGCCCCATTATTACTGTTCAGTCTGTGTCATACTTCCTCCCCTCGCCTACGCTAAAACAAAGGTTCTGAGATGTGGAGCAGAGCTTGGCACAATGCCAGCCCCTGGCCCTCACTGAGGTGAGAGTGTTCTAGGTACCTGGGACTTCTGATGGCCAATAGTAAAAGGTCCCAGCTGGAAGCTCCCTCAGCCTGGCAGGGGCTCCAGATCTTGTGATGTAGCACCAACAGGGGCAGCAGTGGCATTTGCTGCCACCTCTGCTTCTGCCAAGAGGACTGCTGTCAACTGACTAACTCTGGAATAGGTTCTGAGGACACTGGTAGGAAACACAGAGTCAGAATCGGGGTGTGCCACCAACTGAGCTGGGACTTGGCTGTGGGATGCACACAGAGGTGACACCTACATGATAGTGGCCCGTCACATCAAACTGACTCATTAGCAAAACAGGTATAAAGGCTTCCTACGACCTTGTCTTGGCTCTGCCCTGACATGCCTGTGTGATTTAATGGTGGGACACTGGGAAGGTCATTTGACTCTCATTCCAACTTCCTCATCTATAAAATGAAGAATTATTCTAAATAACTTCCAGAATCCCTTTTAACTTGGAGTGGTTATGCCCAACAGACATCTACGTTCTTAGAGCTGTTGGTACATGCATCTCCCTGTTGTGCACGCCTCTCCCTGTTGTGCACGCATCTCCTATGCTAGTTTACCTGTTCTCTTTTTAAGCATAATATATTGACTCTGTTAATAAAATGTTACTTTTGATTTAACCAGATAGAACCTTCATATATTTTTGGATGTGAGCCTAACACCTGAGCCATCTGTCCAGCCCAAAGAATAGAACTTTCTTGAAGACATTGTTAATACTTAGAAATATTGTCTCTGTCCCCCTGGGACCCTACATACCAATATCTCCAGGTCCTATCGGCATGAGCACGGACTGACAGTGTCTTTGGCACCGGAAGGGAGGGATGAGCTGCAGCATGGCTTTCCCGCTGCCAATAGCAAACAGGTCGTGCAACTTACGCATCTGGAGTAAAGAATGGATGCAGAAGAAGGAAAAGAATGAGTATTAGTGGACAAAACCCTCTACACATAATGGTTTTTTCTTCTCATCTCTGTCCGAGAACTCTGTGTAGACCAGGTCAGCTTTGGACTCAAGAGATTCACCTGCCTCTGCCTCCCAAGTGCTGGAATTAAAGGCGTGTGCCAAAATGCCTGGCCTTACATATGGCCTTGTGTTTCCTAGTAGGCTGAGCAATGAGGAAAACATGATTAATAACAAATTTTTTAATTAATTAATGTATTCATTATGTATACAATGTTCTGTCTGCATGTATACCTGCCCGTCAGAAGAGGGCACCAGATCTCATAGATGGTTGTGAGACACCATGTGGTTGCTGGGAATTGAACTCAGTACCTCTGGAAGAGCAGTCAGTGCTCTTAACCTCTGAGCAATCTCTCCAGCCCCTAACAAATTTCATAATTATCTCTAAAATAAAACAAACTAGTCTCTCCTAATCATGGCATCTCCTGGTACTGAGGCCAGGGTAAAAATCTCTTCTCTGGGTTATTTTTAATATTTTTTTATTTTATTATCTGTATGCCTATGTATAGGTACTTCTGGAGCCTAGAAGAGGGAGCCTGAGTCCTTGGAGCTTGAGTACTAAGAGTTGTGAGCTGCCCAATGTCAGTGCTGGGAACTAAACTTCGGTCTCCTGCAAGAGCAGAACTGTTCATACCACTGAGCCTCTCTCCAACATCTACAGGTTCTTCTAAGAGGAACTACATGATTTACTGGGCAGCATGCTCAGTGACAGCCCAAGTGTCTCCAAGGCCATACAGAGCCATTTCACTGGCAACCAGGGGCACAGAGGCCTCCTATCTTGAGCTGGCTTGCAGGAAATAAAAACCAACACTGGCAGATGCTTTGCCATCTGTAGTCCTGAAAGACTACATAAGACCACAACCAGGGGGTGCAGCCCTCATTCATAGGCTCAGAGGCTTGGGCCATGCCCCTTCATGCCCAGGATGGAACAGACGATTGAGGGCAAGCCCTAGGCAACACTGAGGAATAGGAGAAGTAGGGCTGTGTAGTGACCAGACCCTACTTCTCTATTCCAAGACTGACCTGGGACACTGGCCTTTCCAGGGCCTAGGGACCAGGAGGAGGACAGCAGGGTGGAGTAGTGAGGCTGGGTGGGGATACACATGTTCTAAGAAACCCAGCTTGTGGGGCACACCCCACAGGATGACTGCGATAACCGTCTGAATAGCTGTATTACTCCCCTGGCTGGACTCCTTTGTGCTTAGCAAGCTCATGAAACTGACTTCAGTATTCAAGTGGGAAAACTGAGATAAAGTCCCTCGCCAAAATTCTATCATAATTATGAAGATGAAATCCTACTAGGGCCCTGAGGTCTAGTTGGACATAGCAAGCCAAACCAGTGAAGTCTGCAGTGAGAGCGGCCCCTCCTGACACCGCAGGCCTTCCCCACACAGCAGCAGGCAGGCACTTACTTCTACACAAAGTAGGGTTTTTCTTTCTTTTTTGGGGGGTGGGGGGGTGGGGGAGCAGTTTCAAGACAAACTTTCTCTGTAGCTTTGAACCCTGTCCTGGAACTTGCTCTGTAGACCAGGCTGGCCTTGAATTCACAGAGATCTACCTGACTCTGCCTCCCAAGTGTTGGGATTAAAGGTGTACACCACAGAGTAGATTTTACAGGCTATGAAATTCCATCCTGACAGTTGAGCAAGCTTGGAACAAATAAGGAGTATCAGGAGGTTGCAGACACAAACCAGAACTGGTAGAAGGGCACAGGTAGGAAACTCATTCAAATTAATCAAAATTCTGAAACCATCTTCAGGAATGGGACTCCACAGAGAACAAATTCAGATAAAAGCAGACAGACCCAACACAGAGGGGCTTCTCCCATCCACTGGCCCTGCCCAATGGAAAGGGGGGGATAAACAGGTCAGTCCCGGCCTTCAAGTGCCATTCAAATGTTCCAGGCCCTCAAGTGCTGGCCTTTCCTATTTGCTGCCCTGACTCTCTTGTTTGTAGATGGGGTTTTCAAAGTTCTCCTAAAGTTGGGTTAAAGGTTTCTCTCTCAGGTTCCATTTCCCTATTGGCATAAAGAAAAGGCTGGGACTATAAGGGCACACTATTCATCTACAGTCTTGTCTACATTCTGATTTGAGGTAGGGATGTCCACTTCCCACTCCTCTGAAGAGGAAAAGCAGCAGCACAAAGATCCACAGGAAAGATCTCTGGGAATGCACCTTCCTCCAGATGCCAGCAGTGGAGACTCAACTCACTCTCTGAGTCCACGTGCAGAGAAGGCCTCCATGGAATGGGGAAAATAAGACCCGAGTCCTGACAGCAGTCTTACCTTGCTACTCAGCACAGGTTCCGGGTGGAGCAGGAAGCACTTGTTTAATGAGGCGTCTTTTGGAAATGGAAGTTGGGTAAAAACAGGAAAAAGCTCCCGTAAAATTTGTGTTCTGTTTAGAGGTCTCCTCCTGAAAAGTGTGAGAAGAAACAAGTCACCAGCCAGGTCAGCCGGCTCATCTGCAGGAGGGACAGACCATGGCGGCAGGTGCAGAGGAGAGCTGAACTATGTCTTTTGCGCTTAAAAAAAAAAAAAAAACTAAAAAAAAAAAAAGTTTTATTTCTGTAGTTGGGAACGGTGGCACATACCTTCAATTCCAGCACTTGGGAGGCAGAGACAAGTGGAGCTCTGAGTTCGAGGTCAGCTGGTCTACAGAGGGAGTAGAGCTACAAAACGAGCCCTGTCTCAATAGATACATGAGATATGTGTGGGGCTGGAGAGATGGCTCAGCGGTTAAGAGCATTGTCTGCTCTTCCAGAGGTTCTGAGTTCAATTCCCAGCAACCACATGGTGGCTCACAGCCATCTGTAATGAGGTCTGGTGCCCTCTCCTGGCCTGCAGGCATACACACAGACAGAACATTGTATACATAATAAATAAATAAATATTTTTTTAAAAAAAAGAGATATGTGTGTCTTTGAGGGTATGCCATGTGTGTGCGGGTGCCCACAGGGGCCAGACAGGGAGTTATGTACTGTGGCTCTGGGGACCAAGGCCAGGTCCTCTGGAGCAGCACACCCTAAATGTCTTCTCAGACCGTCTGATCTTTTTGGAACAGTTCATGGATCCCAGCTGGCCTCCTACTCACTTTGTAGCTGAGGCTAATAACTTTATCTGATCCAGCCGCCTCCACAGTCCGGTGCTGCGATTACCCAGCAGGACCGTGTCTCAGCATCAGATCCATGGGGACAGTCATGCAGAACTGATGAATAGTACCATACATGCTCACCAAGAGAAGGCCTACAGGTAGTTATCAGGGTGGGTGTAATGCTAAGTTCCAGCAGAAGCAATACAAAGAATAAGAATCAACTCATGTACCTTAAAAAGGAAGCGGAAGTAACAGCAGGCTAGCTGCAGGGAGAGAGACTGAAGGAGGGAGGAGGAAGGGACCAAAGGCAGGACTTTTCTTTGAGGCAGAATAGGAGACAGTGGGCAGCCATTCTTTTTTTTTTTTTTTAATGTTAACACATTTTATTTTATTTTTCAAAGTATTTATTTATTTATTATGTATACAATATTCTGTCTGTGTGCATGTCTGCAGGCCAGAAGAGGGCACCAGACCTCATTACAGATGATTGTGAGCCACCATGTGGTTGCTGGGAATTGAACTCAGGACCT